TACGATGTTTGACTGAAGTTATTTTTTCAATACAATTTATTTTAAAACATGAGCTGAATTGGAAAAAGAAATTTACATACTATTAAATAAGTACAACAATGAAATAAAAAAAAATTACAACAATGATCTCATAGCAAATATAATACATGATAAGACCCAATAACGCATTGGATATATGTAGCCGATTTAATCTAGTGAGATAAGACTTTATTATTGTTGCTATAGGTCAAAAGCTGATGCTAATTAACTTTTAAAAATCAGGATTGAACAAAGATTCCAAGTTGAACTCATGACAATAGTACTTTGAGCCATATTGTTTTCCATTAAAACCATCAAATTTCACAATATTTACAGTGTGCTTTTACATACATATCCTTACTTTTTAATCCATTTGGAAATTTGGCCTAATAAGCATCATGGTACCCCTAACCCAAAACGTAGAATTAAGTTTTGCATTGTATAAACAGTTCATTTGGCCCTAAAATTTTACATGTATTCACATACAAAATGGAACAGTCAAGCCAAAGTTCTTCAAGCTTTGGCCCATTTGAAAAGTTGGCCTAAAAAACGTGATGGTATCCTAGGGACTCAGATATCAAAACATTTGGTTTTATGGTTGGGTTTGGCATTGTATCGACTATAGACAATTCATTTGGACTTCAAATTTCACCACATGTTTTCTCATGCATGTGAAAAATTGTAAAACTTCATGCTTGAAAGGTTTGTTCATCATAGTAAGGGACAACAATTCAAAATTTTGATTTCGAACCCCTAAGGTACCATCACACTTGTTTAGTGACTTTGAGAAAAAGGAAGGGATTAGTAAATCCAAATATGTCTTAGTAAATCCAAATATAGACCCTAGAAGAGAAATGTGTATATGCATATGATTGCACAATAGCTCAGTTTGAACACTATATAGTTGAGCAGAATTTGGGATACAAAAGTGCGGCTCTAATACAACATGCAAGAAGAAACGGATAGCGAGCTACCTGAAGCCCAACCATTTTATTCTTGTAAGCGTCATTCAAGCCTTTATACGAACCACAAATGAGCCTGTCAAAGTTATAAAAAAGAATGTAATGTGAAAGAAGTCATGACATGAACTTTGAGCCATTTGGTTTCTATTCAAAGCATCAACATTTAGCAAGTTGGGAAAAATCATGTTCATAAAGGGAATCTAAACTATTATCCTACATTGATAAAGGATGTGTTTCTTCTATAGTGCCTAAAACAAGAATTTATGTGTGTATGATAAGTAAGATTCTTTAACTCTTAGAAACATGCAATTGAAAGAACATAAAAACTATAAAATCATTATTCATATAGACTTGATATATGTTTACATTTCCACCATATCCAACAAGGTACTCCCATCCAAAAAATGACTCGCTCGTTGGTTTAAAGATGTTTGACTTCAGTTAATTTCAAGCATTAGTGTGCGTGTGTGTGGGGGGGGGGAGGGGGGTCAAAGCTACACCAAAACTTTTCTAAAACAATTGGTAACTTGAATATTTAATTATAAAAGTTGTTAAGAAAATATGGAAACAAATAAGATGTAATTTGACCAAAGAACAATAAGACATGACATCCATTTTGAGAGGGGGTACTATAATTTGAATGTATACAGAGACCGATTTAAAAAGTTCTTAGGTTTGTAAAAAAGAGACATATTGCATAAAATGGAACTAACATTTCATGTAATTGCCAAAAAAATTACAAACAAATTAAATAAGATAGATTTAGATAAACCATAAAAAACAACTTTTAAAGATTTGAGTAGGATAGTAAAAACAAATCAATAAAAGCCATGGCTTACATGCAGGAAGGTTAGATATATCTGCAGATACTGCACATGGAATTCCCAGGTTTGAAAGTGCTCCCCTGATGATTCCACAAGGAAAATAAAGATGCATTCCTATTGCCTGTGCAGTTTTGTTCTCAGCCATAGCCAAAGGATCTTGAATAGATCCAGAGGTTTCAAGTGATGGGTCCATAGGCATCCGAGATAGCCAACGAAACCGATTATCTTGCAACACAAATGTACCCTGGGAAGACAAAGATTAAGATAATAAGCAGCTTTTAACTTGTTTATTTGGCAGAAATGGATGTTACCACTTACCAAGGGCTTTTCTTTTCAGAAATTTCAGCAGATTCAGTTAAATAACCATTACAAAATGGACACAATGTGTTAATTTGAATTCTCAAACTCACCCTGTGGTTTGTCTTTAGGTTGTCAATCTGTTTTTTGAAAAGCTCAGACCAGAAGTCCTTGCAAATGAACTTGATGGCTTCCAAATGGTCACTGAACCGTGGTCGTTCCATCGTGTATCTACATGGTTGGACAATAGTATCACACATATTCAGAGAAGCATGAGGGTTAAGAAGATGGGCTAATAATTGTAAGAATTCAAATTAGCCCATCTTCTTAACCCTCTTAATTGTATTGAGATGGGCTAATAATATGCAATTATTAGCCCATCTTCTTAACCCTCACAGCACATTATCCGAACAATATATATAACCCTGCTTAGTTGCTGAGAATGAGAGATAAGCGACTCTTGAAGGCAATGTGAGATCTTCAAGAATGACATCCATGTTCTTTTTTATCTGTCGAATCTCTAAAAATCTCTACCCCCCCCCCAATAAGATTCCCAGGAATGTCAGAAATTGAGAACATGACAGCCCAAATGCCCCTCAAAAGGGTAGGACTCTCCTAGTCAAATTGCAATTCGCAATCATAACAAATTGCGAACGTGAAACCTCAGGATTAAAACCATCTTTTTCAAATCGATAAATGAGCTCCAAACATAATTTCCCCTTTTCCAGACTCAATGGAAAAATTTTCAATGTGCTAAAGGCAGTCCAATAGTATTGGCAGAAAAAGATGGAACCTTAGTGAACCCTAGCTACATTCATTTAAGAAAATGGTGGCATTTTTTTATTTGCTCTGATCATAAGAGGTATTCGTCTCCAACGGGCCTCCAACCAAAAACAAAAACAACTTTTTCAGCTAGACTTCATGTGAATATCGTAAAGCACGATGAAATGATTTCACTACACTAATCCCTTACAATCATATTAGGGAACAAATTGCAAGCATACCCAGCAAGACCAATGGAAATTCCAGATCAGATAATGCAAGGTATCTTACATAAAAGATTCAAGATTTGATGGACTTGAAATGTAGTAGAAAATAAAAAAATTAACAGCAACTTAAGAGATACACACAGCTTGATGTCATGAAGAAAACATCAGTGCTAGATTGTCTAATGATTACTTGAATTCAGTTAATACAGTTAGAAAATTTAAACCATCTCGATACATTTCAATATGAAGATCCTCTGCCGTAGCACCACCACATAATTATGATAAATAAGAAATGATCCACAATGAATTCTCTCTACAAATCACCAATTTCACATTAATAAACTCATGAATTGAACTATTCATATTAGGTTTCAGAGGAGATAGCAGAGTGTGGGAGGCAGGGAGGGAGGCTGACCTTTCGGAAAGCTGGTGGCCGACCTGAAAGCCGATGGCTTCGATCCGGCGGGCGGCGAGCTCAGGCTTGTCGGCGTAGAAGCCATTGCAGTAGGAAGAAACAATCTCCGTCAGCAGACTCTCCACGCAGCTCTCCGATACCTCCCTCCCCATCTCTTCCGGCGGCCTTAGACCCCCCTTTTTTGTGCGTATGCCTTAGCAATGGAAAATCGGTTTGAAAATACAAATCTACCATTGGATTTTTCCTCTACATATTAATTAAATATTCTACTAAATACTCCCCCCATTTCTAAATAGATTATAATTTTTTTTATCTCCTTTCGATAACTTTGGTTTTTTTACGCGATTTCATTAAGTATTTGATAAAATAAAATATTATTGTCAACTCTTGTTTTGTAGAACTTTTGACGTAGTTTTTTAATATGTAATTTTTATATCTTATTGATATACCAATTTGTAAATAAAATGATTTCAAAACGTAGAAAATTTTACTCCGTAACCCGCAATTTGTAATCAAATTCGGGACGAAAGGAGTATTAAATAAAAATTAAATTGTATATTAATACAAAAAACATTGTGATTTAATTTATTTTGTAAAAAAAATCATAACTTATTTTTCTGAACACTAATAACTCATTACAATGAGATATTGTTCATATATTTTAAACATATTAAAATATATAGAGCTACTGACTTGATAAAGTACGAAAATGAGTGGTGTAAATTTGTTATACACAACGTTTAATCCTATAATCTAATACGGATTGTTTTAAAAATGTTGTTTCCATAAATATAAACATTTTACTTTATTCATCCCAAAAAATGACACAATTACTATTTCGGTCTCTGAATTTTTTATATTTGTATACTTGTTTTGATTTAGTATTTGATTAAATAAAATATTTTTATCACATCTTGTTTTTTTTAGAACTTTTGATGTATTTTGAATGGTATAATTTTTACTTTTTATTTCTTTACCAATTTGTAAACAAAGATTTTTTAAAAGATATAATATTTTGCACGTTGTTCAAAGTATTTGAAATCATTTGGAATCGAAAAGTAGTTTATTTTATTATTTTATTTTGATTAAGACAAATCAAATCGAAAGAGAGATTACAAAGTATAAACTAAAAACATTCATCCTAAAGTATCTGTACTCTACAAAAAGTTCAAAAGTATAATTGTATTGAACTCATCTACCACATACATATAACAAGAGTCTATCTGCAGTCTGTCTCTTTACAATTAAGCCGTTGAATTGCGGCTAATTACTCCGTAAATATATATATAACACGGGTACATCCTTTTATTAATGATCAATATATTTATATTAATTCCTAGTCTTAATTTTTAAACTCGTTGTATTGTATTGTTACTCCATCCGTCCGAAAATGTTCTTCCCACCATCCTTTTTGGTCTGTCTGAAAATATTCTTCCCATTTTCTTTTTTAGTATACTTTTTAAGGATAAATTTCAGTAATACCCTTCTATTTTATCACTAATCTATCTTTTTATTGTTTTTTAATAAGAAAAGGAGATTAAAAGTTTATAGTACGTGCTTTTTGGAAATTTGGCACTTTTTTTACTATTTCTTAATAAGCGTGTCAAGTCAACACGGGAAGAACATTCCCGGACGGAGGGAGTATTTATTAAGCTGCAGGCTGTGGGTGATTTCTTGATCTACAAGTGCGAGTGGCTTCAAATAATTGAGCTTCTATCCCCAGCTTTTTGAGCTCCATTAGTCCACGCTCAACTGCATGCATGCAAATTGGGAGCAACATTTCACATAATTAATTAATAATTAATTAATTAATTACGTGTAGTAAAACAATAATCTATCAATCAAATCCTTATATTAGCTTAAATAGCACGCTTAATGATTCAAAGATATATTGGTTATTGATAAGGGCTCTAGGATATTAATCAGGAGTGGTAAAAGAAAATTAAGCTCTAATATTTTAAAATTTTGACAAATCATTCCATCACATGTGCCGGGATCATGTGACGTTTTACACTTCATGAACATGCGACGCTTTTTCATGAACTGATGATGGTAGTTTTTTGTATTACACTTATCGAAAAAAAGTGTCGTAAATACATGAAAAAGCGCCACATGTTGATTAAGAAGTGTGCCATGGGATGAGACAGCATAATACGTTATTATTGGCCCGTAAAGCATGTGATGATGGGTGAAATGTGTAGTTTAATTTTACGATCAATGAGCTAAGGTTTACGGTTTACCATTAACTGCGTCGTGAGAGTTGATAGGATGAGTGGTGCCAATGTTGATCCAGAACTCCAGCCGCTCGTCTGCAATATCTGGTTCCAACCCGTGATTCTTTGCTCTTCTCCAAAAGTATATTAGCCATGCCTGCAAGAGCATGCACATATACATATGCTAATGAGTAAAAGTGTATCTCTGGAATCTACCTCACGAACCACATACGTAGATAGATATACAAATGATCTAATGTGAACATTGTTGGGAATAAAGAACTGTGGCTCTTATAAATGTATATAGACCGGATGGTCACAAAAGAGGGAAAGGAAAGAAGAAAATTAAAACAATAGGGCAAGCTAAGGAGAAGATGGAAAGTTAAGGATTCGACCAGTTGGTATCATCATACCTGCTTAAAACGTACATCTTCAGCCTCTTCTTGACTCAATTCTTGAATACAACAAATGATATGTCAGTTTTGGAACCAGGCCATCAACAATGCACAAAGATCAGGTAAAATAATTTACACGAGGACTTCAAATTCATATAAGCTAAGAACGTGTCATTCAGAAGTTGAGTGAATCTTGTTTTGTAGACAAAACTTTAATAGGGTGAGATTTTTCTGTATAAGCCAGATTTCTAGGTCAAAAGATGGTTGGCTTTAGATCTAAACACATTGATATGATACGCAAGATTCCTTGTGATACATATACGTGTATGTTCAATAGAAAATGACGTACCAAATGCATCTGCAAAATTCTGGCCTTCAATTGGAACCTTTAAATCATCTGCAGCAACAGCTTGAAGAATAAGAGATGATCATAAAACAACAAAATTTGTATTTAATTTAGATCTGGATCATTAAGTTGGGTAAGTTTGTAAGAGTATACTGGCTATTTCTTCAAAAGGCTTGTGAAATATAACTGTCATATTATCCCAAAAATAAGTGTAATATGTTGCTGATATTGCTAATATATACAGTAATTATTCTTAAAAGCAAACAATATCTGTAAGCTAGTGAAAAAGTAAGGTCAGTGTAAACATATTCATTTAGAATCTAATGCAGTATAATATAATGGTTTTACATTTCAACTTGCATATAAACTCCACATTTTTCACTACTATAACTGTAAAATTTTATTCAATGCCATCTAGCTAAGGAAGTGGTGAAGTGCGGCAAGGGAGCTCCTTTTCATCTGCAGATTGGGCATCTCGTGATGCTGATTTTATAGCATATTTGATTTATGCATCAAGGAATTTGAAGCAGGAAGATTTGGTGGAGTTTGTAGCCACCCCATGGGAGGCTTGGAATGTGAGAAACCAGTTCATCATTTGTGGAAAGGTGCAGCATATCCACTTCTTGGAATGTGAGAAACCAATTCATTGCTTGTGGCATGGTGCAACATTTGTGGAATCTAGAGAACTATAAAGTTTGTTGAAGGTTTCGAGCAAGTTAAAGCACGCATAGACTTGAAGGTGGGCAGTGGGCAAGCTGATGATTGGCATCCTCCTTGCACAGGATGGTGATGACCCATTTTGATGAGGGGAGAATTGGCAAAAGAGGGGGCAGTATGTGCTTTGTGATCCCAGACTCGTCGGGTGCACTACTCTCGGCCGGGAGTAAGTGTGAAGTGAAAATGGCAATATGAAGAGAAAATTCAGGAGGACAAAACTTGTTTGTTTGATATGGAGTATTCAACAAGAGTTTGAGTTGAAATATCATTGAGTGATTCTTCAGGGAAATTTTCTTGCTTTAGTGTCCAAGATCAAATTGAGAGTTAGTTGGTTCATTAGGTTTTTTCATTTCAGATATTTGTATCTTTTAAATTCCTTTCAGTGCTATTCTTAGCTGTATTAGACGTTCTGGGAACAGGGCTGCACATTTGTAAAAAAGTATAATAAAAGTAAAATTGTATGCATTCATTCATGGGTATCCAGAACATAAAAGAAAGGCACTGACTTGAGATGTTTCCTTAGTTTTGACAATATACTTAGTTAACAAGAAATGAGATGAAGCATCATAAAAAAGGCATTACATATGTGCAGATTGCAGACATACTTCATACCTGTTGCACTAGATCTTGGGCCACCTGATCGCCGTTGTTGGGCCATAGCAAGAGCTATTGCTTCTGCCACCTTTTGAATGACAAATGAACACGATTACATCAGAAAGGGTTTTTTTATCACATGATAATCACTAGGTCTTGTTTTAGAAGTGTGGCTCATGCAATGAAACAACTGAAGTAATTTTCAATTAAGTTTTTAAAATATGAAACTTAGTGTTAATAAATAAAATTTACACACACACACACACATATATATAAACTTCATAAAGAGTAATTGTTAAGTAATTGTTAAGGAAAGTAATTAACAGTAACCAGGGACGGATACAATGGGACAAGGAAAGTAATTGTTAAGGCATTTTACTTGAATACTTGAATTCAAAGGAATTCTTATCTAAAACCAATACTGGCCTAATTTTTATTCCATATATCACAAAAATTACATCTTTTAGAATGTAATATTAGGAGTTATGGAGTACTCCGAAACCAAAGATTGGATGGAAATGATACATTGAGAATTATAACCAAAAGATTCTTTTGGAAAAATTTTAGCATACCAGGAAAGAGACTGTAACAAGGGTTTGCTAAAAAAAAGCCCAAGAGAAATGGAAACACCTTAAGAGACGTCTGTTCTAGCAGGCCTTTTTCTACTAATATCATGCTCTCAACATTTCCATCTGATAAAATTTCAACACCTCTTTGAACTTCTTCCCCTTCCTCCATATCACTGTAAACTATGTACAATTTCTAAATACATAAGTATATCAAATTGTGAAGCTCTTATTCACAAAGTGAACAATGAAACATTGTTACCTAATGAGTTTTCAGTCTTTGCCCTCTGTCCTGCTTCTAACACAACTTCATTCGGTAAATGGGCAAATGAGGACCAGTATTCATGCTTTGATTCAGCAATATCAGCATGAATACCTGCAATATCATGAATATTATTTGATAGAAGAATGGAAGAATTTAAACACAAAAATTGGAACTTGTATGAGCTGAATATACATCATTTTAGGCTTGTGAAATAAAGTAGACTGGTTGATCTCTATAATTCCCAAACATGTATTTTGCATAATTCATCAACAAGAAAAATAGCAACATGTTAATGCTTGAAAATCAAAGTAAATCAATCTTCAGCAATCCATTTACCATGATGAACGCACAAGCCCCAGTATCGAGCAAGCCAGCATCTCTTAAGAATAACTTCTTCCTAAGGTGAGAAACTGTGAATCTCATAAGATTGTAAAAGATGAAAGAAAGACATGAAACTATGAATCTCATGAATTTGTAAAAGATGAAAAGAAAATGTTAAGCTGTGAATCTCATGGGTTTGTAAATGATGATTACACCAGGGATAGCAATAACTAAATTGATGCATACCATCTCCTCCTGTGAGAGTATCATTCTATGGGAGTGGGACATTGTACGAAGTGACTTAACCTCACATTCAAACTCATGAAGCTGCTCCGTAGCAGAATTTGCTTCATCTCTTGCAATCTACATCGTAAAGTGACTATTTTCATGTTAAGAAAACTTAACATAGTTTACCAGAAGAAAACAACAAGCTATATGGAATAGATGGCAAGATGCAGATGTCTAAACACCTCAGCATCTGCCCGAAGAGCTGCAGACTCGACACCTTTTTCACCATGATTTTGTGATGCAACTTTTAATGCAGCCTGCCAGATTACTGATGTTCATATTCATCAAAGTAATTCATTTCTACTAGAGTGAAAACTAGATGTAAGGCAATTTTCAAATACATAATCAGCATAACATACTGCAATTATTCACATATAGAAGAGCCAAGTCTAGAAAATATAAAGGAGGCCAAATGGTGTTTCACTCGCAAAGGCCAAAGGGTACACAAAACGATGCAAGTTTTCATTAATGCAATTTCTAATAAAAGTTTTAATTCATTCATTCAACCACATGCATATCAGGAAACACGGGAAAGACAAATTCAGTGATAACACAGATGTAATTTGAATGAGTGTATATAGGAACATCATACAACAATCCATCGTACACACCTCCCTCTGTTGCAGAGCGGCTTCTTTCCTGTGCAGTGGAACAAAAAAAATATAAGAACATAACTTGCCAGCAAAGAATTCATTGAAATTTTATATATTAATTTATGAAATTGTGATCCCTGCCTGGCTAAAAGACGAGCTTCCAGTGATACACCTTCCCCCAGATTTGCAATCTAACAAAGGAACCACGTCATGAATTATCTAGCATAATTGACTGGAGTAAGAATAATAGGGTAGACACATTCACAAATTGCAATCGCTATGAGACCAAGCTTTCTAACTCTTCAGACAAACCTTGCCGCTTACAATACAACAAACCCAGTATAATCCCAACTCTGTTGAGGTTTGGGTGATCAGGATGAACTAGAATACAAGCAAGATGTTGGATACTTGGATTAAAACAACGATTTTTCTCATCACTCACAAAATCATGATGGAAATGCAAGTCTACACTTATGTGCCAACTAACCATTATAAAAGTGATTGTTACACAATGAAGATGTAGTAGCATCACTACCTGCTTCTCAAGCAGCCTAGCCCGAGCTTCTGCTTCCTCAGAACGTTCCTCTGCAAGTCGAATCTGAAAGCATGCCGCAAGACTATGTCATTAAATGACACACATACGTAAGGCACAAAGTTTCAGTGCAGAAGTATGACTGAAACCTGGTACCATATATAGTGAGAAGAAATTTGAAATACTTCCTCCATCCCCGAATTAAATTAATGGTTTGACTTTACGGAGTTTAAAAAAAGTGTTAAAAATAAAAAGAGTTCGGTTGGAATTTGTTTGGAAGAGAGAGATGTTAAGAGTCACATACTTCATTCTTGAAAGGGAAAGTGGAGAAGTACGAATTTCATTTTGGGATGAAGGGGAAAGGAAAGTATTAATTTTATTCAGGGACAGAGGGAGTACAAAATTACCTTTTCAAGCAAACTTTCATTTTCCTCTTGAAGCATGTCAACCTGCAATTGTGATCATAAATTACTGCTCACTAGTTACATTTTCACTGAGAAATCAGTAAAGGTAATGCAAAACTAAATAACTAAGAGGTCTAACGGAATGTTTTTCTGTCAATAAATTATTTTATCTTGCATCATGTAAAACTAGTAACAAGAACTACTGAATACTTCATACAACACACACACACACACAATACACAACCCATGAAGAAAAGGAACCCAACCACTTATCAACTTTTTCATGGGCACTAACAAAAATCCCTCTTATTCTCTCTTGGTAGAAGATTTTATTGGTGGTTCACTGGTTGTTTCTGGTCCAAAAAGGCACTAAAAGGAGACAAGGGCCGAGCTTCAGAAGAAATGAGCAGAGTAAGGGGTTCAAGATGGCCTGGCTGTGCTGGACTGGGCCATTCTTGGAATTCTTCATGTCATTTTTGAGCAACTCAAAAAAAGGATCATTTTCAAAATGCATATATATATGAAAGTTATAGACTTAAATGTACAGCTTAAAGCTCGCAGCACCATGGCGATACAAAAAAATGCATAAAATAAAGAAGGAATACATTATAACATTAACACCTTTAAACAACATTATAACATTAACTATAATACTTAGTATAAAATATATATCTTGAGAATTACAAGTGGGAGGCCCATGTAATACAATGCTCAAACCTCATCTTGTAGATCAGAAGAAGAATGTTGGATGACAGTTTCTTTATATTTAGAAGTTCCAAGATCTGGGGTTGACCTGTGAAGTCAAAAACTAAATGAAGGACCAACATACAGGTTGAAGTTTTAAATTTGTGTGGGAATTTTAGCTAAATTTGCATCAGTGCATCACAAGCAAGAAACTAAGAAACAAAACAGGCAAAACTGTTTGGAGTATAAGGGCAAGCACAATAGGGTTGTAAACAATGCGATCTTGTCTTGAGAATAATATCATTAAAAACCAAAATATATTCCCTCTATTTCATATATAACACTTGTTTTGTTCACTATTCTCAGGGTGAAACAATATATGTTTTCTCTACCAATTTTCTTTAATCATTTGTTACAATAACATAGTCAAGCCATCCTTTGTTTTATATATCTTTTGATGTAGTTTTGAAATATATAAAAATAATAATTTTACACCTATATTTAGAAAAATTCAATTGAAAATAACTTTAGTCAAACTTCGTGAACCAAAAAAATGACCGAAATTGAGGGAGTAAGAAAATAAACATTTATTTTTCATTTTTAATAAGTGTTTATCAATCAGGTAGCCAAAAAATCATATACTGACAGAAAAGTCTTACCTTTTATTATCCATGGGATCTTCATACTGGAGCTCGGAGGAAGTTCCTTGAACAGCTGTCCGAAGTGATATAGGCACACTAGAGGGCAATATAGAAATGGTCTTGGGACCTAAATTAAGACGTGCAGCTGAGGTAGAGCGAGCAGATGGAGGTTGATCCATCACCATTGGATGAGATGAGCGACCAGCTGCTGAGCGAGCAGATGGGGGTTGTACATGTTCCACAGCATTAGTGGACATGGATGAGGAACTGGCTAGAAAAGAACGAGCAGAAAGTGGTTGGTCAGAAGAGCTCAACTGAGAAGATCGTACTGAGATTGGTCGGACTGGAGGAGGTTGTTGTATTGAACCTAATGTTGATCGAGTAGCTGATGTTGAATGAGCTGATGGAGGTTGCTCCGGTGAACGCATATGATATGATCTTGTAATTGATGCTGAACGATCAGAAGAAGGTTTCTCTAGTGGACTTGGCAAAGAAGATCGAGTGGCTAGTGTTGAGTGGTCCCCTGATGAAGATTGTTGTTCCAAAGAGCCAACAGATGGAGAGGGCCTCATCCTTATCACTGAGCGAGCAGATGCATGGTTTTCCATTGATGTACGAGCTGCCTAAGAGAGAACAAAAATTATGTGAAGTACTGACTATATGCTTTTATGAAAAGCCATCAGACACTGAAATGATCATGGGTCATAATAACTGATAAGAATGCATAGCTCTGCTATTGCTCAACCCAATTCCAATGATATAATAAGAATGCATAGCTCTGCAATTTCTCAATCCAAGTTGCATAAGAAATCTACTTATGAACATAATGAAAAGTTCTAGAGTAGTGTGCAAAAAGCGCTCCCAACTAAATTTCTCTAAAACAAGAAATGTCTTCATTTTATCCAAATGGTGCACTATATATACGTATGTAATTGGTTAGTTAGTGAGGCATATATGA